CTTGATTTGGCGTTGGAGCGCTCAGGGCTTTCGTACGGTGTTCTGCTTCAGCCACTGCTGGCAGGAGAGGCGGTGGAGATGGATATTAGGCGGCTACAGCGGGTTATTGTGGATGCTTCTATTAATACCCCAGATGTGTTCCGTGAGCTCACCCACCGGGCGGTGGAGAATGGACTTGCATGTCAGGACAACATTGCGCTTTTTACAGGAGACTACGAGGGGGCGTACGCAATAGCGACGGCAGCGCGACAGTCTACACAAGACCCTGCATTGGCGATGCGGGCGGTTGAAAAGGTGCGATGTAAACTTGGGTTTAATGAGTTTCGTCTGTCGCTTGACTCTGCGGCAATCGTGCGCAACGGAGTTGATTATTTCTGTCGCTGCTCTAAACAAAACTTTATGCGGTCTGTGGTGACACTTCCAAAGGAGGAGTTACTGCGTCTCATGCATGAGACAAGCTTCCGCTGCACGTTCTGTGCGAAGGAGCATCCGCTACAGCCGGAGGATTGGCAGAAGGCCATGCAAGGCCGTGCTGAATGATGCAAGGGTGGCGCTCCTTGCAATGTGAGGGAGGGATACAGCGGGGCTGGCTGGAGTGGGCAAAGAGGGGGAGCGTTCTGTTTGTTATTTTGCGTTTATTTCTTTTTTGTTTTTTTTGCCGGCTGCTGTTACGACCGATAACCTCATTTCTGCTGCCTACGGAGGGGCCGATGGGTTTGGCGGGGGTCGGGGGAAAAGAAAGCCGCACTTTTTTTTTCTTTTTTGTTGCCTGCGATGTCTTCTCCTCGTCTCTTCTCCACTTCATTTCTTTTCCTTTTTTTTTTCGTTTTCCTTTCCATGTAATCTGCCTCCTCTTCTGGGGTTTGTGCGGTAAACACGGCGAAGATTGTAGTCGGCATTCATACGGCAACCCCCAACATCATCACCAAGTAAAGAAAATCCCGAAAAGAAATAGGGAGAGGTTTTTGCCGCGTGCACGGGGCGGTATCAAATAGGTAGGGACGATTTTCGAGTGAGGAGGAGGAGGAGGTCATTTAGTTTGGTATTGTTTTGTGTAATTTTTTCTTTTCCTTTTCCTTTTTTTTTTTGATCGTGCGTGCTGGGGGCGTTAAGGAGAATTCAGGAGAAACGATGTTCGGTGGGCAAGGCGAGAAGCCGAAGGGGGCCAAGCAGACGCCCTCCGTGAAGGCGGGGGCGGAGCGACGCCAGAGGCAGATGATCAGTGTGCGGCAAAAGGCGCATGGAGAACTTATGAAGCACGTCCGCGGGGATCACGGGAGGGTGAGCGTCGAAGAGCTGTCTCGCCTGAATGGGGATCCCCAAGACGTCTGGACGTACGACGCCCAGACAGCGCCTGAAATGGTTCCACGTGAACTGCTGCCCGAATTTGCACGGCTGGTGATGGAGGGAAAATCAGAGAAGGAGGTGTTTCATGGCGCTCTCCTGATTCGTAAGATCCTCTCCGTGGAACGCAACCCGCCTCATGACGCGGTGATCAAGAGTGGTGTCGTTCCATACCTTTCAGAACTTATGGATCGGTTCGACAATCCAAAATTGCAGTTTGAGGCTGCGTGGGCGCTGACGAATATTGCCGCAGGCACCAGTGAGAATGTGAGTGTCCTCATTCAGTTTGGAGCCATTCCTCGATTTGTGTCTCTGTTGGGGTCTGAGAACGAGGACTGCCGTGATCAAGGCGCATGGGCTATAGGCAACATTGCTGGCGATGGGGTTCGTTGCCGCGATTTGGCGCTGCAGTACAATGCCTTACCTGCCCTTCTCCGAGTTCTCACGATTCCGCATCAGCCACTCAACGCTCTTCGCAATGCCGCGTGGGCTGTATCTAATTTGGCTCGGGGGAAGCCCGCGCCGCCCTTGGATAGCGTCTCCATAGCTCTCCCAGTTTTATCCGGTCTTCTTTATCATTCTGACAAGGAGGTCGTAATAGACGCTGCATGGGCAATTTCTTACATAAGTGATGGTTCTTGGGATCGTGTGCAGGCTGTGATAGATGCGGGTGTTGTGCCTCGCATGATGGAATTTCTTTCATCTCCTGTAATACCACTTCAGACCTCAGCTGTTCGTACTGCCGGTAACATTGCGAGTGGTAATAACGAACAGACACAAATCATAATCAACTGCGGGTTTCTCTCGGTACTTGGAAATCTATTAACGCACTGCAAACGTGATATCCGGAAGGAAGCCTGCTGGACTGTTTCCAATATTGCTGCTGGAACTTTACCGCAGATTGAGGCGCTCATTTCATCAAACGTGTTTCCCTTGGTGATTAAATGCCTCGAGGGCTCTGATCTCGATGTAAAGAAAGAGGCTATCTGGTCAGTTGCCAACGTTGTTCTTTGTGGCGTTGTCTCCCACCTGCGGTATCTTTTGGATTGTAATGTAGTTCCAGCCCTGTGTGAAGCCCTGTTATTGCATGAGACGAAGATTCTGACGATTTCCCTGGAGTCCCTTATGGGCTTCCTCCAACTTGGCGATGATGATTTCAGGGCAGGCATCAGCGAAGAGAACATGGTGGCGCAGGCGATCATTGCGTGTGGGGGTGTAAATGCCATTGAGCGCATCCAGTCCTATACGGACAATAATCTGTACAGCTTGGCTCTTTCAATCCTTGAGACGTATTTTAATGTTGAGGAGAGTTTCCCACAAGGCGGGTTTGAGGCATCCGCGGAATTTGGCGACGGCACAGCGAAACAAGACACGGAATTTGACTTTTAATAAACGGATGGAGGGGAATACAAACACATACATACACACACACATACACACAAAGAGACAGCAACAACAAATAAATAAAAAAAAAAAAATGAAAAAGAAAGAAAGGATAAGGAAGGAGGAAAAGGAATCAGAATAATAATAATTAAAACAAACAAACAGAAACAAAAGAAATAAAAAAAAAGAAAAAAAAAAAAGAAAAAGAAAAAAGAAAGTGGGAGACAGAAAAAAAAGTGAGGAGGTAAGACAGTGAGAGGGATAATTAAAGGAAGAAAGGGAGGGAGGGCTTGGGACACACATCTGTACATGTGTCCACAAGGAAATAAGAGAAGCAGGGGAACGGCATGTTTGCAGAGATGTGCACGACTCAGTGAATTCCGTATGTGTGCACACATGCGGCGGGATACGGGGGAAGAGAGACACATTCGCACGAAAGCATGCCGCACCCACGGATGAGGGGTTGTTTTTTTCTTTTTTCTAGAAGCCTTCTTTCTTCATCTGGGAGATTAACACAAAATAAAACAACAACAAGAAGAAGAAGAGGAAGGGAAGAAAAAAAGAAAAAACAGCAACAACAACAATAACTTCTCCATTATTTCACTGTTTGCAGAGTTGAGACGTAAAGGAAGTTGCGAAACTTAACAAAAGAAAAAAAGAAATATACATGCAAAGAATGCAACGTGTAGAACGACAGGCAAAGAGGAAGAAAAGGGAGAAAAAAGGAGAAAAAGGAGGGGAGAGAGAGAGGGAGGAGATATATATATATATACATACAGGGAACTGTGAGGAGAACGAGAAGGAAGGAAATAAAACGGAAATGGCATGTACGGCAGGCTGTGCCTTGTGCGGTGGAAAAAGCTAAACAGGGGAGTAATAAAGAAGGAGACTGGAGAATCAGAAGGCGAAGAGGTGGCGGTGGTGGCTGCCCGAGCCCTCAGGCTTTAACCGGGTGGTGTGGTGGGTCATTAGTCGCCACCGTCACCGGAGGAGGCAGACGTTCAAAAATTTTTTCTTTCCTACTTTTTTTTTTTCGTTTCAGGGGGGAAGAGGGAGACAACTCCCTGGCTCTGTATTTCTTTTATGTTTTTGTTTTTGCATGTTCTATATCTGTTTTGAAGTCTGCTGTGAAATGTAACCGTGGCAAGGGAATGCGCAGGTGAAGAGGGAGAGGGAGAGAGAGAGGGTTTGGGGGGGGGGTTGGGGTAAAAGGAGAGATCTCTTCCCCCATCCCCCTTCCCCCCTTTTTTGATTTTTGTGTTTCTTTCTCTCTCTTTTTCTTTCTTTCGTGAATATCAATCTCTCTAGACAAACACGTCTTTGGGATTAAGTGTACCACCTCCCGTCATCTACCTAATATATATATATATATACATCCATATCTATTTCTTTTCAAGACCGCGTGTGAGGAAACGTCATGATTGATTTGGACCTTTTTTTTTTTTTTA